CTGATCTTAATCTAGTTCTAAGCCTTGAGCTTCCGGGAGACAGCGGCCATGTCAATGAATTTGAGGAAGGTCGATGAATCCCAAATCGTACTAAAATCCCAAAATTTTTTCGGGAATCCAAAATTCAGGATTATCGAAATATCAGTTTGGTTTCGGTTTTTAGAATCTTATCTCGAAAAATGTTGGTTCGAGATTTGGGATCCCATTTTCGGTACAAGATTCCAAACCGAACCAACCCTAGTCTCATTAAAGTGACAACCCGTAAATGAGCGATAAAGAGATCGCATGCAAGGGCTTTAAGAGCGAAGGTGAAGGAGAATCATAATTAACAAAGCTTCACATCCTTCTTTGAGGACCCATGTTGGTACGTTGAGGGGCGCAACTTGGCACATGGAATGCACCCCCAAATGCATAAATACGAAAAACGTCAGGTTTGTACCCAGTAACCAACTGTAACGTCATATAGGTTAGGTGGCAATGGGCCTCAAGGCAGACCAACATAACTGCGTACAAGATTGCATAGCCTTAGGCAGAAACTGAAAACTTGGTACGTTTACCAAAATCCGAGTGATAATTTAATTTGCGCTTTATGATCACTAGGCAAGGCTATTTAGGGTGAACATGGGAATTTGATGTTTAATTATAAACCCAAAATACATGCAATACTTTATCGAAAATAGTCGATATAAACTCTCTGGCATTATCCAATCTCCCAGACCTTAAGGGATAAGTAGGGCGGTGAGCCCTTAATGGGCCATAAGGTTTAGCAACAATGTGTGTGGATAAACATGTGACCACTTTGTCAATTCATCAACCAAAACCATAAGTATTTCTATGGTCTGCATTTTGGTTGGATTAGTTCACTTATATTCCCTTGAATCCACTGTGAAAAATGGGTGATTTCGTATCGTTGCGAGGAATGATATAGAAAATCAATTTCCCTAATGAGCTGGCTTGGCAAAGTGTGCTTGTAGGCACAAGATCCTTACTTCGGGTAAGGAGATGCGTCGTAGCATTATTGTCCGACCTAAGTGTCCCAAAAGGTTATGCCAAAGCAAGTAAACTGCTCAATCACCAGGTTCCAGGCCGACCACATGTGGTGTGTTCCAGTTGGGAGACAGCCTATTGGCCCCAAATCAAAGTTGTAGACTCATTTTTAGAGGTGGTGCAAAGATATTTCACTCTATTTTCTTCAATGGTTTCATTAATGATCATTATTCTCTCGAATATCCTTAAAAACTCAATGACAGGGAGAATTTAAGGTCCTTTAAATGGTGATGTAGTACCATTCATACAATGAGGAGCAGGCCAATACTCTTAATCAGGTTAGATAGACCTGAAGTTGTTGTTAGAAATGTGATTTAGGTGTAAAGTTAGTGTGCGTAGTATTGCATTCATCCAGACAACTAACTTCCCCACATTCCTACCTAATCACGTGTTTAATTGAATCGGTCACATGTATTAACAAACATGATTCAATTAACTCATATTCAAGGACAATATCAATAAGATTATCCATAAGTAAAACATACACCAAACTTGAATCCAAGAACATAGAAAAATGTTCACAAAGTAAATGGTTTACTAAGGGGATTCAGGCCAACAAGGCCATCTATGTCAAAATTTTGCTCTTCCAATGGTGTTTGATAAAGCAAAATTAGTCTCACATATTGACTACTAGAATGGTACTCCTTAAGAACATTGGTAGGGGCAAGAACATGTGCATAACCAATGATCTATTCCATCGAGACGGAAGTAGATTCTGCAGGGTTGAGGTTTGGAAATATTATCCCTTATTCTTAAAGTTTTTAGGTCTTAGGTTCCAATGATTATGCTTCAGGCATGATGCCACACCTTGGCAGGCCCTGATTCTACTATATGTTGTAAAAACAAACTCGAAATTGGATTGTGAAAGAGTAGGCCATTCAGTGTATCCCTGCCAAAGCAGTGCATCACCATTCGGTAGGCTTTAACCGAACTTGGGTTGAGCTATTCGGTAGACTCCAACTGAACTGAGTCTATACCGTTCTCTCACATTTGTGGTAGTAATTAGATCCGAGAATGTGGTAAACTTCCGCTTTCTACACTGTTGCTTTAGGAGCGAGTTAGAAATATGGAAGGACGAGAAAAGTATTCTCCAGTTAGAATTCCATCGGATTTATAAACTTCAGAATCGTACTCATTCATAGACGTAATCATGGTGTGCTTTAGGCAGTGTCTTGTACCCCACATAATGTGGTTTCTATTAGAAACATCCAAATAAGGGAAATCGAACTTGTGACGGTTCGACAATCCACTAAATTGGAGGGAATAAGATTGTGATTGGTGCTATGGGAATGAATCATCCATAAGCATCAAAGTTAGAACATTCGAGTTCTAAGACATGGTTTTCATGAAAAACGTCGGGTTTTTCATAGGTGTATTGTTTTATGAAAACTTCAGGTTTGAAGGGCACTAAATTTGAAACTACAGGTTTAATTTAGTTTATGAACATTTAGTTCATAAAAGAGAGGTTCCTGCAAAAACACATAATGCAATATGCTGATTTAAGTGTAGTGGCTTTGAGTTTCTTCTAGAACTCAAGTGTGAGAGCTTCGTTACTACGAAAGTATGTCAATGGTTCAAAGTATAAAACTAAATTATTGAATCGTTAATGTCCAAAAGTGATTTCAAGTTAATAATTTTGGATTCATTATCAGATTAATAGACTGCAGGTCATTTTTAATTAATTCAATAAATCGGGCCATACAAGGTTGATTGTAGAAGTAAAAATAATAATAACATTCGGGTTTAAATTATTTAAAAATGCTAAATAAGAGCATTGGGTCGAAAATACCATAACCTAAAAATTTGGGTTGGGTGCCGTGAGTAAAAGGCAAGGTGGTAAGGCTGCAAAAGACAGCCTACGGGTCCAGGTGGGTAAGCCCAGCTGTGAAGGCTGGTGTGTTGGGCCTAATGGGGGGGGCATGTGTTCAGGCCCAGCAGATTACTGGCCTGTGCGTTCGCGTGGGAAGCAAGCCCAGCTAAGCTGGCTTGCTGGTTTGAGTCACACAAGGCCCAACCGAGGCTAGGGCCGAGTTTAGTGGACCGTGGCAGGGGAAAACCTACCAGACTGGGCTGTGGGTAACGGGCCGGGGCAACATGGCATAAGCCCAGTGGGTTAACGACGCGCAGAACATCAGGCCGAAGCTGCAGGCTTTTGGTTTGGGTAAATGGATTGCATGTCCATCAGTCAGGTTAGGCCCTAGGGCCTTGGGATGTCAGTGCAGCAAACCCAAAAGGTGCTGCCGTGTGATCCACTCGACTGGGCTTCATGCCAGCGGTGGTCCATGGTGCCACGGTGGGTGCTGCGGGGGTAGTGTCGCATAGTGCCCTATGCAATTTTTTATTTTTTTTCTCTCGACATAGGTAGGGTTTTACAAACCCTAGATTTGCTTCTAATTTATTTTATATACATTGATTCACAATTCCACATAGCAATTTAATTATGTAATGCATGAAACAAATATATATACATATACTGACATATATATAAACATATACAATATATCGTAAGGAAAATATAAACATAGAGGGGTTCATGCATCATGGTGAATGTTTTCATGCTTCGTGAACGTTTCAAATATCTTCCTTTATTTTAAGCGTACTTGATTGGTAGAAAAAAAAATAAAAGCCTTTGAATTTGTAGGAGATCCTTCTCGTAAAGCCAGAATTGCATCTCCAATGCATTGTAACACGTTCAACCAAAAAAAAATTGAATCAATAGCATGTAGTTCAATTTAATAAAATAATAAATTAATCATAAAAAGAATGATTAAAACGTAATACTCCCCAGATTAAAGATCAAACTCTCTTTACCACATTGTCAAGAGCGTGTTGATAACGTGTTGTAGGCATAATTTACTGAACAAGTATGGAGGCCAGAGAGAGAGAGATGTGTAATTATGGATGTGTTCTATTTTACCCCACTGTGCCTTTATTTATAGTAGTATAGAAAATTAATTCCTAATAGAAATATAAGAGATATTCCTAAATCCATTAGGATTTACATAATCACATTGTTAATCTAATAAGACTGCAACACCTTGCAATATTTTTTAATTAAAAAATGCTTAAACAACTTTCTTTATAATTAAGCGCACTTTTTATTACCAGGAATACTTTCTTTATTGTTAAAGATTTTTTTTTTATTTTATTAAAACCCTCCTGAAGTGCGCCTCCTTTTTGGTTTTTCGTCCTTATAATATAAAAAATATCCTTAATAATTAGGAAAAAAGTTTTATAAGGAACTTTTCATTAGTTCTCCCTATTACAGGGTCAACACATGACTTTATGGCTTCTAACATTTTCCTATAGATTGGAGATGTTTTCAAAGATGAAAAATATGAATACGCTTTTATTGTTTTAATCTCAACTCTTGATATCAAATCAAAAAACAAGAGACCATGAATTCTTAGTCGACATGTAAACCAAAACAACTGAACTCATTAATAATTCAATATATTTAAGCATAGGCCATACGGACCGCTCATTTTCTCCAAAGTGTCAATCATATGCTCCAATAATCCTCTCACGTATCACCCATATTATTTTTTCCAACATAGGATGCTATCACCAAAGCTACCAAGCCCTCCCGGACTACACCAAAGTTTGTGGACGAAGACTTGCATAAAACGTCACCGGACCTCAATGTACCCTTCTCCGTCGGGCATGAATTAAGCCCTTGCAACTTGTCACTCCGATGTAATCTAAACTTGCAGGAATGGGCCTAGAATAAAGGGACATGATCATTCACTTTACATGGAACATCGAACGAATCCATTAGCATAGGGAAACAAATGGAGCATGAGATCACTCCTTTTTTTTTTTAATTTCTCAGTGAGCGTTGCGATGTTTTATTGCCTCCCTCATTGATGGTAAGCGGAGATGGTATCGTACTTCTCAAAAAGGCTACAAAATTATTATTGAAGAACCCGAAAACTAAAAACTAAATGAATCGGTTCCCAAAAGAGCCCTTAATTCGATAGATAAAGTAACATAACGAGTGTTACTTAAACATAAAACATAGTACAATTTTGCTTGCAGTCAACTCCTCCTCCAAATGGGGAAAGAAAACGAAAAGCAGTTTTTTACTAATTAGTTAAAAACACAATCACCTAATACAACCAACGAATGCCTTTTTTTCTTCAGTGTTTCAGAATGGCAGGGTAGGACACAAGAGAGGCAAAGCTAGATCTCCACAAGACTGTTCACATGCGAAACAATCCTTGCATTCTGATCAAGTTCATCACCCAAACATTGAGTTTCTTTAGTCTTCAGGTCATAAGCATGCAATTTTCCGCCACTCCGATACAAGACCACATTTCCACAGGCAAACAATATATAATTAGTCATCATTCGATGGTTATAAGTCGTTGAATCGAATGGTGGAGGGGATAGACTAATCTGATGTTTCGTTTCCCATGCCCTGACATTGCTGTGCATCCCCATAGTGTTCGTGTAGGCGTTAGACAACACTTTCACAGTTAGTCCTGTAGGACTAGGCTTTGTCAGACAAAGCTTTCCATCCATCAGACCCAGGGCCCCAATTCCTCCTGTATCACAAAAACTGCCAGAAAGTTGTTGTGCGCGCTCCATCGTCAGGTCAAAAACAAGAATCTGATAATCCAATACCCAATAAACTATGTCGTTCACATGAACACCGGTTCTTGGCACAGGCGGATGATTGCCAAAGTAAATCTCACCAGAAACTCTCCAAGACTCGTCCCTGGAGGAATAGATCTCAAACTCATATCCATTGTCAAAATCAACGGATGGAAAAACACATACGAGTTTGTACTCGGCCACAAAATTGAGCAAAGACGGTTCAAAGATGAGAACAATAGCAGGGTTACATCCGTGATCCGCGTTTGGCTTGGGAAGTTTTTTCCACTTCCTAGTAACAGGATTGCAAATGTAGTAAGCCTTATAGCCATCACGACCCTGGCAGCAAAGTAATCCATTGGAAGAAGTCCTTATCTCAACCGGCTCAGGCAAGAAGTTCAGAGGTGGATCTGGAACACCATACGCATTGGGGTCAAGAGATATGAATGAAGGTGGGGCTGTTCCGGATTGACAAAAGAAGCCCGAGATATCATGAAAGCTATTTGACTGCTTGTGGGCAAAGAAAGGGGTTGTGATATCGAGCTTCCAGTCCCTACAAACTCCAGTGAACCTGAAAAGTGATTTAGCAGGTAGAAACTGGAGGGCATGGTTCCTAATGATGTCCTTGAGGTCCATGTATAAAATACTGTTTTTGTTTGCTACCAACTTATTTGCTCTCCTTTCTCGATCCATCACGCTCATCTCCCTCTCCTTCAACTACAATCAATCTCCAAAACGTCACAGAAAGAACTGTTAAGATTACAGGTTCACCAATGTAAACTAAACAAAAAGAGACATTTGAATACACAAGCAAACACAACCAAGACAAAATTAGACCTCTCTCTTGTATTTAAATGCTTTCATACTTGACAGAGTACCAAATGCAAATTCGATTTTATACGCAAAATCCTGAAAGGATACCGTAACTCACAAATTTCATAATCCATTTCTAGAAACTAGACCCAGCGAAATCGAGCAATTCCCTCTAGTGCCCAACAACCATCAATCCCTATCAGTTTCTGCATATTCTCTGAATTTAAATTACATGATGCCACTTGACATTTTGGGATCTCAAGAGTATATTAAAAGACGAGATTACCAACCTGAAGAACTCGCCACAATCAAATTGCACACAGAATATAGAATCTACCAATTTTCATACACTTACAAATTGAGAGCATACACAAACTGAAAAATGAAAAAGAAAACGCTTTCCGCAAATTTTCTGAGCAGCCAAACAGACGATAACAGAAATGAAAACACCAAAATCCGCCTAACACAATCAAGACACTGACAACACAGAAAGTGAAACCCTAGACTAAGAACTCTAAGTAATTTCCATGGCAAAATGCGAACAAACTGGAAGCATACGGCATTAATGTACAAATCTGCAGAGAGTTAATCCCGATTAACAGCAATAATTAATCAATCAAATCGAATAATTCAAAGTGACAGTAGAGAGATGGTGAGTGATCGTACCTATCGGATTCGCCAAATCGGGGAGGAGAGGTCTCGATCGGGAAGAAGAAATTGATGAAAAACGGGTGTTGAGATTTTGGACTCTGCTGGGGGTTTTGGGCTCCTCTTTCTAAAGTATGACTATGGCTTGACTAATAAAGTGAAGTCAATTGGGGTTGTTTGGATTCGGCGAGACGTGTGTTCTGGTTCTGAACAGAACTATATTTATTCTGTTCGGGACACTTGACCGAATTTGAACCACATTATTGTTAAGCCTATTGCGAGGCTAAGCTCACTCTCCTTCCTTTAGTGTTGTTTGGGCCCAAAATAATATTTTGGGCGAGCTTAGAGTCATTCTCGGTCCAATAACATTCATCTAGAATCTTGTCATAGACTGTCCAGTCAAGGTTGGCCGAGTCCTATTACGAAGAGGATTGGTTTAGATAAAGGTGAGGTAGTCAAACCCTAATGCAACAAGGAGTCTTAAAGCTAAGAATGCTTAAAATTAGAGGATGAATCTGGTTCGTTAAGAAGCTTAGTTCAAAGTTCTATAGGGGTTATGATTGGTCAAAATCTGATAAGATTGGGTTGAAGAGTTCTAATCCAAGTAAACTTCTAGTTCGGCCATAAGGGGGTTCGCTGCTATAAATAGAGAAGGGAGTGCATCATTCAAATTAACACACAAATTGCCCTGCGTAAAGCTTCTCAACAACCCTGAGATTTTTTCCTCTTCTCCTTTCTTCTCACCAACACACCTTCAGTTTGGATAGACAACACTATGAAGGCAACTGGTGATATCTTTAGTTTGGATAGACAACACTGGAGACGTAGAATCAGCTGACCGATGAGCACCTTCAGTTTGGATAGACAGCACTTCGAGGTTGACTGGTTATTTATCCAAATCTCGGTTAACAAGGATTTCCGAGTCCTTGTTGGTAGAGGTCATATCATCAACCTTCTCAGTGAAGTAAAGTGTTACCAGGTTACTAGGCTCGACACATTGAAAGTTGAGTTTTATGATTGGATATTCGCAAGTACATTTTAGAGTTTGACATTTTGACGGCCTAACTACATTTACAATCAAGACATTTATCTATTTCGAGTATTTGTGTCCATATAGTTTGGTACCAGTTCGGCATACTTATACTTTCACGAATATAATAACCGAGACCGAACCCGGCGCTGACAATTTGTGAACTTCGAAGAAACTAGCAGCCTTGTCTTCATGCTCTAGAACTCGAAGGTTGAGACGTGTTCCTTCCTCAACCGCAGTCGTGAGATCAAGAAGTTAGTAGCGTGCTCAATGCCACATCAACATATTTTACTCCCCGGCCGAACTTGGCTGATGAGTTGGCACGGGCACGCAACCGAATGACGTAGTTAGCTTATTAATTACTCGGCTTGCGCGCCACGTAGGCTTGGTAGTTTTTAGGGGAGGGTATGAGGAAGGGAATAAGATTCTCTCATCTCTTAAACTCTCTTGCAGTTATGATTAAATCACATCAATATTTTATATTAATTTTTTTTATAGAGTCAAAAAGCAAAATGTGAGAGGAGGGGAGGGAAAAAGAGGGGAATATGAGGGGAGAGAATCTTACTCTATAAGGAAAACCATGGAAGGCTAAGAGCAATGATGAGGCTAGGATTTGGGTATTTCTTTGGGTACAAAGTTTCATTTATAAGTGTGGCAGATTGTAGTATAAGTGCTTTATTCCCATCCAGTGTCTTATGTCTCCACTCACTTTTTAATGAAATTTTTAGTTACATGTTCGCTTATTTGTAAAATGACCAATAAGAACCTTAAAAGATATATAATAATAATAGGTTGGGTGCGAAAAAGCTAACAAGAGCCCTAGACTTACATTGGGTTGTGAAAGGAATGAAATGAACCATATGTAAGCAAATCCGCGAAAAAAAAAAAAAAAAAGACATAAAGATGAGGATAGAAGGAATTCTAAAACTAAAAAGTGTGGATATCCTTTCCAATGAAAGTGTAATAAGCTAGCAATTGATGATGATTGGATTTTAATGGTAGATATTGGAGTGCATAATCACAGCAACAAAGACATTTGGAGGCCATTCATTTGTTGGTAGAAAAAAATATTAATGTGATAATTAACCTTTTCCATTTGGGCTGGAGATGAATCTTTTACTAGTGGGCTTAAGTGGGATGTAGCCCCAACCTACATGCCTTTAACAAAATAGTAATGCTAGGGAGACTAAAATTGTAAACTAAATAATGTATCACCAATAAGAAATAAGCACGTTAATCAACATTTAAGTATAGTGCAATCATAAATTTCCATGTCATTTAGTTTACAAAAGTTAGTCTCCTAACATTACCCTTAACAAAAATGTTGCCCCTCTCGTTGCACAGGAAAGTAAACAAAATAACAAAAATGTTATCTTGATCACTCGACCAATTGCTTATCTTTGAATTCGCTATTAAGGGTGGAGAATAAATTCATATGCTTTTAAATTTTTAATCTCAACTATTAATATCAAATTTGAGAGTGAGTGGCCTAAAAGCGTTGTGGATGCAAATTTCTGCCGTCTTTTCCTTTGACGAAAATGCACCTGCAAAATAATAACACCTAAGAGTAAGGCCAAAAGCCTCACGCGCCCACGAAGACATCGGAAAATCAAGCAAGGTGTCCGGGTCAAAATCGGGTCACTGATGGGGGAGTCAGGTCTAGGGCAACAAGTCTGGGGCAATGATCCGAGTCTGTTGCTTTTCCTTTTTCCTTATTTCTCTCATTTCCTCCTTCTTGATTGGGTCAGTCGCTCCAATCTTTCATTTCCCTCATTTCTCTCCTTGTCTCTCCATCCTAGACACACACGTGCACCAGATCAATGCTCCAGCAAATCTGGAGCCTCTAAGATGGTGGTTAAATGACCATTTTACCCTTAGCTTCGTTCGTTTATAACTTCAAATTACATTCCGTTTGAGCCCACTCGTTCGTAACAACGAGTACTACAAGGTTACGCTAATAGAATAGATCATACGTTGCCCGGCACGATGGTCAACAAAAGTAAATAATTTCACCTCGAAGGGAATTTTCGTAAATTCATACATTAAAATTATAAAAACCAAAATATTTAGGGACGAGTCGTTACAAACATACACTCTAACTTGAGAGGGAGTGTTAAGGAAGATATCTCAAATTGATTAAGTCAACATTCTAGTTACCACATTGAAACGTGATTTAAAATTTCTCCCGTATTTAGTCATGGTAAGACAAAGGAAGAAATTAACAAGGAAGCACAACACATAGAAAGGAATAAATAGTGAAGCATAACACGCAACAAGGAAAGGTTAATGCATCTAGGAGAACCAAAATAGCCCACAATGGTGCAAAGTTTTGGAACCAAAGTGATAAAATCTAACAGTTTTAAGCTCAAAGGTCACAAGATTCAAGATAAAGTCAAAAGAGCCAAGATAAAGTCAAAAGAGTCGCAAGATTAATTACAACAAAAACCAAAAGAAAATGGAGCTTTAACTTTAACAAACATTGTTCAATAGTTATCAAAACAGAACTCCCTAATAACACTTGCTCTCAATTAAACTAAAAACCCTATAAGAACTCCCCTAGAAACTTAGAACTCCTCGAATTATGATGAGTCATTTGAGCCAACAGGAGATCCAGCAGCAATGACATCTTCTACATGGGCATCTCCTATGTAGGCCACTACTAAACCTTCTGCATCTTCATCTTCATCAGAAGAATAGGAAAATCTGATGTGTTTGCCTTTCGAGGTAGAAGTAGAAGAAACGTGCTGATGAACATTGATGGTCACACCCTTTCCTTTAACAGCATAGATTGCGGCCATCTTGGAAGCAACAACACTTGAATGGCTGGAGGAAATAACAGTATGATAAGACACAGGAGATGGAGTCATGGGACGTTGAGGAGCAAGTTTTGGAGGAAGTAGAGACGGCTTGGGGACAAACAATGAAGGATTTAGGGAAGTTTGACTTAGAGATGGTGTGGAGACCGAGTGACTAACAAGTGGTGAGGACACACATTACATCGCTTAGGTTCATCACATTTCTGTCCAGATTCTTAATGGTTCTAAGACAAAGATCATCAGGACTTTTTTTAACACCAGCATGTTCACACAACTGAGTGATCAGACAAGGATGAATGGTAGACCCTCTCTAGTGGGTTCAAACACGTTTGGACTTAGACAAAATTGACTTGAAAATCACAAAGCGAAAAGGCATATCACAGTGAGTTAACATGGCAAACAATACTCTGGTTGACTTAACGGTAAGGTTACCATTGTTCGACGTTCATAAGACATTTCTACAGATAAAATCAGACCAAATCCTATATAAAGGTTTGAGGCGAGACTTTGACACCTGCCCTTTGACGAATGGAATAGATGGATCAACATAGGCTTCACGATGGTAGGCACTCAAGACATACTGACTAGTTGCAACATTATATTTTGATGAGATGAAAGCAGAAGATGGATCAAGTTCAAGGATAGTACAAATAATAGACGAGTCAAAAGCAACCATAACACCACGAACATAAACAGCCCTACCCGACTCAAGAAAGTTCGACGGAATATTAGAGTAAAACTCTTGAACCATAGAAATATTGAAATTGGGAGGAAGAAAGTTTACCTTATGAAGCCTGTACTGTTCAACGAGGTCATCAGAACGGATAACGTCAGCCAAGGAAAGATCATCCCAGATGATTTGTCGTTCATGCACAACCTTCCGAGTAGCCACTGTAGAGAAGAAATTCTTGGCTTGAGTGGATGAAAATATGGGAACTTGATTTTCAATTGCCAGCTCTGGAGGAAGTCCTCACAGTCTGTGATCGAGTAAAGCAACGAGAAGGTTGAGCACGGGCAATAGCAGTGTTTCCGGCCATTGGTAAGTGAAAGTTTCCGGTGAGATGGATTTAGAGTTTGAAAAACAAGGAAAGGAAATCAAACAAGGCAAACGGCACAAAGTGAGGTATGGTAAAAACCTAGATAGGTTAGAGAAGGTTGAAACCTAAGACACTGTGGAAAAGTGTAAGCCGTACTATGAAAACCAATGGATGAGATGCAATAATTAAAACAAACGACGCAAAGACGAGAATACCCTTAATGAACCTCACTGTTTCTGATTAGATCACGTGACTAGTCAGAATGTTGAAATTAATTACAACAAAAGTAGTTAAGTGCAACAAGATGAAACCATGAGAGAAGATAACACATAAACGTAAGAAAACATGCCACAGATACAAAACCTAGTACCATTTGAGCTATAGCCAACTGAATTTTAAGAGAGAATCCAAGAATAAACAAATTCAATAACCAAGCATCCAAGACAATTTTGATAATAAATATTCAACAAAACAATTACATTTGAAAGGAATCATGCAATGAAATACTTCAGAACCAAATTTTTATGGATACACAATGAAGGCACAACACATATTAACACTTGCTCATACCACATCCATGATGTGTCTATGTATGGGAAAGAGATTGATGACAACCCATGAAAACTAAGTTTCACGCAAGTAAGCAAGGATTTGATTCAAAGGCTAACCAAACTTTTATAACCCATTGAGATTAAGTCACAATCCTCACAAAAGAAATTAACCCAATATCTAAACACAAAACTACTCACAATGAAGAACCAAGCTCGACAGAACTTTTGAGATGACAAATGTGATACGGAGCACATGACCATAGATATGATTGGAGAGAATTGCATTTTGGCAGTCCAAGACACATTTTGACCTTTTCTTGAGACAAAGAGAAATGAATTGAATTTTTCATGACATTGCATGAGACAATACTTTTGAGAAATTTTCCCTTCTCCCTTTTTGAACCTTTGATAACTTTGCTCATGAGTGAATAGATTGAAGCTCAGATAAATGATTTTACTTTTGAGATGGTCTGAGCACAATGAAAGACACACTAGGTGGTGTTTTGTACTGGAAAAGTCTCTTAGCCTAATTTATAGAGAAGAATTGTCACTACACCTCAATCAAGACCAAAGTAAGCCTAACCCTTAAATCAACAAGAGTGCTTTTGTCAAATGAAACAAAGATTTTTCACAAACTATTTGCCATAACAAGGGGAACCTTTGACATCACAGAGAAGGAATTAAACAAGGTTAGTCTACAAAATGCCAACATGTGAGATAGTTAAGAAATGCACAAAGTGACAAACAGACTCAGTTGATTGACAAGACAGATGCAAGAACAGGAAAAGAGACATCAAAAGGTTCTCAAGGTTCTCAAGTACATCAAAAGTGCACCTGGACAAGGTATTTTTCTGCCTTCTACAAGTTATTGCAATTAAAGGCATTTTGCGATGTCGACTGGGCTAGATGCAAGGATATGAGAAGGTCAATAACGAGTCATGTATTTTACTCGGTCAAGCACCAATTTCTTGGAAAACAAAGAAACAAACCACTCTATCTCGCTCCAGTGCAGAGGCCGAATACAGTTCCATGGCCACTACATGTTGCGAGATTACATGGTTGAAGAACATCTTGAAAGATTTGAGAGTTATCCATCCACAACCTGTCACATTCTTTTGTGACAATCAGACGGCAATACACATTGCTTCGAATCCAGTGTTTCATGAACGAACAAAGCATATAGAGATTGATTGTCATATGGTAAGAGAGAAGGTTCAAGGATGAATGGTGCATACAGTCTACATATGAACAATTGATCAGCCAACTGACATATTCACCAAGCCGTTGAGTTCAACACAGTTTGAAACGCTACTCATCAAGTTGGGTGTCATTAACATACACTTCAACTTGAGGGTGAGTGTTAAGGAAGATATCTCAAATTGATTAAGTCAATATTGTATATTGTAATTAGTTATTCACTTACTTGTTTAGTATTTGATTTCCCTTGATTGTAGGATTCAATATAGGATCACAATTGTATAGCCGCTATAATTGCTGTAACCCTATTCCGTTAATAATACAAGAAGAAGAGTTTCAGTCACTTTGTAATTCTTTGATATTCATTACTACTCAAAGAAGAAAGGAAAGTTGGGAAAAACATCGTAATGGCATATTTCTTTTAGATAGATACCCTACACATTATCCTAGTAATTGAAAAGCATGATAAATTGGAGGACCAACCAACCGTGTCCACAAACACAAGATAGGATTGTACCGGCCAATAATCCCAACTCATCCAAAGCACTGGTCGGTTGGGATTGGACCTGGAATGGAGCCATTCTGAACGAACTGCAACCCAAACACCACCAAAATGGAGAGCAAGGACAAGTAAGACAGACCTTCAACAGCACCCAACAGTCCAAAGGGTCCGTTGGGCAGACCAGACCCCGTTTTGGTTTTGGTGTACAAGGACCAACCCACAATCCCCAGGACGGCCAAATAGCTGACACCTTCGAGTGCGCCGATTGAACCGCCCGGTCCAGGCTGCAGGCCGCACCCGGTTGTTTTGAGGGTGTAAAGGGACCAGCCAATCACTGGGGTGGAGATTAAGCCTCCTGCAATGGCTGCTATCTCTGCAATGGTGGGGGTGCTCTCATCGCTGCTTTCCCTTGCCTTGGCTGAAATTTTCAGGGGAGATACAAATCTGGGTTGTTGTTCTATCTCTAGCATTGAAATTGTGAAATGGCTTTGGTAATAGTGAGGTGGATGCTGGAGAAAGTAGCAACATACTTGAGGTTCAGAGAGAGAGAGAGACGGTGTTTTGGTGTACTTTAGAGAACCAATTTCTGAAAAATGGAAGGGTGGGAAATGATATTAGCTTTATCCAACCGATATAAATTGGGGAAAATAGTTGGTTTTATTTCTTGACTGTAGCTCGATTTTTATTTGATTTATTTAATTCATTAATTAAAAAAAAAAAAAAGAGCGCAAGAAAAGAAAATGAAAATGGTGTATAAAAATAATTTTCTGTGGTTTCATTGGCTTACACAGTGGAGAAGAGTGGCTTTAATTGTTAGAGGTTTAAACAAATTTAGAAATGTGAAAAATTAGGTGGTTATACGTCCCTTATTGAAAGCGACCGGAAACTACAGTGGCATGTTTTGTAATTATCTCTTTCTTTCTCCATGCATTGCTAGCTCGCCCAAGCCGCTGTAAAGTAGAAGCAGGTTATGAAATGCTTGAGCTTCGCTGCGAAGCTGCTTTTCTCAGCAGCTCACACAATCGCACGTTAAAGCTTGCAGCTAGCTTTTGAGTAAAGCCGTCAACAAGTTCAGCTCAGGAGCTTATGACCAACAAGCTTTATCTTTATAAAATGCTAATTTAATTTCGTCGCTCGGTACTAAAGTAGCACCTGGGTCGAAATACTCCATACAACCAAGTGCATCATATTTTGCATACAACCAACTGCATCATATCATATTTTGCTGCACTCTTGCATATCAGATCGACGCCTCTAACATTAGGTCTCAAATCCCATAGCCACATGGACATCTACCCACCCCACAATCATTGCCACCTGGAACATTACTAGGACAAATCATAATTCCACGTCACCTGTAAATATATCAACAAATAAACGAAAAACCCTACACCCAACGCACATACCAAGACTCGAAGCCTAAATGCCAACATAATATACAAAGAGATACAAGGACCATCTACAGAGTTTTTACAATCCCCTCCCCACCATTTTTTTTTTTTTTTTTTAAACGACGACCTGGTTGGACAAACGAACACATATCAAAAAAACAACAATTTTTCAAGTCTTTTTTTTCCCTCCAACTCTCCAATTGCTCTTCCCTCCTTCCATCCCAAACAAGAACCCCGCATAACTGTCATTTGAATAACATCCAGCAACGGCTACATGGTTCACCAACGACTTTTTAAACATCCTTAACATTTTATATATGTTGTTTGTCCAACATCTCAGGAAAATCCAAGTCTATTAACAACCAACCAACCAACCAACCAAATCTAATCTAATCTCTCTCTACGAGGTTTCTCTGTTTTTCCAAACTAAGACAGCAAAACACCATCAACAAAAACATTAAATACTGTCACCAGATTGATGATTACTGACTCTCTGTCAACGATGCTTCTTCGAAGACTTGCTGTACTCAACCACGTCATCATCTTCCTCGTCGTCCTCTCCATTGTCGTCTGAATCTGCATCTCCGTCTCTCTTCCGCTTGAGTTGCGATGACGACGAGGGGGGTAGCACCTCAACTTCGTCATCTTTTTCGTCTTCCACTTCTTCCTCTTCGCCATCTCCTTCTTCATTCCCGGGGTCCATGTCACTGCCCCCAGCATCTTCTTCCTCTGCCTGTGCTACCGGTTGAACCAAGTAACCTGCACCATAGTCCTCTTCCTGCCAGCCAAACATGTCTCCATAAGTTGATAAATTCAATAATTAACAAAATAGATGCTAAAATTCATACGAAATAAGTAGTCGTATAATTGCAGCACTAACAATAAATCCGCAATATATTAACTTCCAACACATTAAAAACAGACACCACATTGAGTAAACAAACAAAATCAACCCTTGTATAACCTATCACTCTTTCGTATTGCCTGGCAAGACTATAATAACACTACTAGTGAAGATCATCTGCACCAAATATTCGACTTAGGAATCAAAATAGCTGGAACATAAGTGCGCCACACAGAAAATCTTAGAACAATACTCTAAATTCATGCAACCAGACATGGGATAATTGGCTGCAAAATCAACAAATACGAGTACTAACATAACAGCAGTCAGAAAACAAGAATAATATGACTCATTAACATTTTAGCGAACTTCAAAACCGTGATCAAAGTCCAATCAAAATAAATACACCTTACCACAAAAATTTTAAATAAATCAAAAGAAATAGACAAAAAAGGGTCTTCAAAATCTATTGTAACACCTTCAATTTCTTCGTCCACAAGATATAATAACGCACAATCACTTGGAAAATTCAAAAGAAAAAAAATTCCCCATTAAAACAAGCAGTCCAGCAAGATATAATAACACATAATCACTTGATCAATTCAAAAGAAAAAAAAAATCCCCAAACACAAGCAGTCCAGCAACACTGGAAGTACACGACACATAAGATAAGGCACAAAATAATGGTTTTTCTAAAAGACAAAAAAACATTGTAGCAATAACACAAAATAAAAGTGCGAGGTTTAAAGGCATCCTCTTCCATTTACCTTGAGATAACAGAAATTTCATTTTTGAGAAATCTTCCAAAACTTTATAACAAAAACAATTACCTAAGAATAAGGCAAAACAGCCTAAATCATAGGTTTGAAATTTTCACAATATGCTATATACCACACATAAACACACAAAGGCACAAACATTATCTCAAAATATTTGAGCAGACACTCCAAAGAAGCAACCTCATCAACCTACAAGAAAACCAATCGACAAATACACATAGATTTATGCAGAAAACCAATTTCAACCAATATGCACAAGATGCTCATAGCATAAATGGAACAGCAGCCATGTTTCTCCACTCCTGTAATCTACAAGAACATCATCCATAAACCGTTAAACACAGCCACAAAAATCAATCAATTAATAGACACAAGAAGCAAATAAAATTATAGCAACTTGTAAATATAAAAGCAGACTACCAAGATTTAGAATTTAACAATGTAACAATGTTATTTAAAGGATCTCTCACCTCTTCATCACCATCCTCATCCTCAAACTCTCCATCTTCCTCTACTAACTGCTCTTCCTCTCCGGTCTCGCCATTATCGTCTTCATCTGCATCATCATCCTCCCCTTGCTCATGCCCATCAATCTCTCCCTCCATGCTCGTCAACCGCCCTGTACTCTCCGGCTCTGCCAAATCCCCTTCATCATTGTCCACCTCCTCTTCCTCGTCATCTCATCATCATCGTCGTCATCATCATCCTCATCATACTCAACCCCATCTTCCTCATCATCACTATCCTCAATCTCATGAACTTCCACCACATCGTCATCCTCGCCATCCTCATCGATTTCTTCACCAGAATCATTCTCATCATCCTCATCGGGCTCCTCCTCATCCTCATCGCCATCTTCACCAGTCGCAGCAAACCGGAAGCCGTTCTCAGCCGGGTGATTCACTCCGTTCACTCTCCCCGCAGTCACCGTCTCCTCCTCATCCGCATCACTCTCTTCATCCTCATCAACATCCACAACTCCCTCAACCGCCTCACTGTGCCCATTGGTCATCTCAAACGGCCGCTCCTCCCCGTCAATTTCACCACTCCCAGGATCATCCTCCTCGTCCTCTTCATCCTCCTCCTCATCATCAGATTCCGGCCTCTCGTTCTCATCCGCGTCCATCTTATCCAAATACTTCAACGATTTAATCAATCCAAAAACCCTAGATCGATAATCCTTGACGTGCGTGACCGGACACTCATACAGATCAAGCGAGACGAGCCTCAGCTGCGCTAGCGGCGCGAGATCCTCGACTGCTGAATCCGATTGTTTGAGAGGTCGAGATCCCTCAGCGAGTCGAGTCCGGCTTCGACGAGGAATTCAAGGCCGCCGGCGATTCTGTTATCAGAGAGGATGAGCTTCTGGAGATTTCGGAGCCTCGGGAACTGCTCCAGGGACGAAACGCCGACGTTTGCGATTGAGAGGTGCTGAAGGTTCTGGAACTTCTCTAGAAGGCTCGGAGGGGGCAGGCGACCCTGGACACACTTAACGGCACCGTCAAGGGTTAGGGCTCGAGCGGCGGCGTGGTCAGTCTGGCCCTCTAGCGCTGTCTCAACGGCTCGCTCCCAGATCTCGTCCATCAAATTCGAAACCCTAATTTATCTCATATAAAGAACAAAACTACAAAATTTCTCCCTAATTTTTCTGTTTTTTTCTATCATATATTTTCTGAAAAATCACTGGAGCTATGATTTTTCAATTCCCGGGACGAACGAAAATGGGGAGGAAAACTGAAACCCTAGATTTATCCCAAATCATAGATTCGAAGAAAAAAACGACGCGAATCCTAATCGTTTTGTCTCTCTGAGCCGCCTTAAAACCCTAAGCTTTTATATGTACGGACGGACTCTTCTGCAAGTAGGAGATGCTTCAGGAGCAAAAACAAGCAGAAAAAGGACCAAAAATGAAATTCCTCTCTCTACCTCTCGCTCTCCTCTCTCTTTCTCTCTCTACCTTCTCTCTCCTATTCGTATTGGGCAAGTGGGTGAGCGGGATAAACCTCTAGAGGGGGCTCGTTGGTCTTTTGCCTTCGTGGCTAGGGTTCGGGGGGCTGAACCTACCCGTATCGAAAAATAGGGGGGCCGTTGGATGTTGAAGGCACGGATCGGTGACGTGGATAAATAGACGGTGGAAATTGTAGTTTGTTGTGTTTGTTTGTATGGGGAGAGAGAGAGGTAGAGAGAAGAGGAGAGAGGATTTCGGCTCCGCATGAAGGAAGACACGTAACTGCTGAAGGAAATATCAGTTAGGTTACAGATATGCCTATATGATCTGACCAAATTACTTGATTGCCACGACGCTTCGTGACGGAGCATTTGCGTTTCATGTCGTAATTTCCACGCCGCTTTTGTTTGTTTCCTAATATTTATCTACGACATGCTTTTTATGCTCGTTTTAACGTGGTAGTAAAACACCACATCTTTTGGTAAAATAGTGACGTAATCTTAGTTTGTTTCAGCTTGTACTTGTCATTTAACTTTAATTAAATTAGGGGACGTTTGTTTGCCCTCACTAAGTTGGACTGGACTAGCTATTAGTCCAATACTGTGTTTGTTCCATGCTGAGACTAACATTAATGAGACTAAAGGGGACTAGCATGGACAAAACCCTTCACTAAGAGGTCTTAGCGAGACCCCCCAATAACCATGGGACTAGATAAGACTATCCTCTCTTTCTCGTCCTCGTCATGCTCAACGACCACTCTCGACAGACTCCTTGTCATCTCCGGTCACCTAGATCAATCATTAACTTTCCAACTCTCTTTCAGATCCATTTCACAACCAACTTTCATATAAAATATACCAAATTGAAGCTGGGAGTGACAAGATTACGATTTTACCTGAATCGAGGCCAAAATGTGGTCGAATGTGGCTGGAAAATGGCCTGGAAGTCTCGGCCTGTTTGGGCTTCTTCAAATTCATGACAGATTCGAGCATTCAAAGCTAAGATCTTGGTCCAGGGATGGTGATGAATTTTTTTGGCGGTGCTAACTTCATCCAATTTAATGAGGAAATGGTAGGAAAAAATGAAGAAAAAGATAAAATCATAATAAAATATTAATAATTTATATATTAAATAATATAATATTATATTTGTTATTATCCAGCTTGTTAGTCCAATACTGCACCAAACGCTTCACTAGTTAGTCCAGTTTAGTCTAGTCTAAGCCAGTCCAGCTTAGTCCTTGAAGCTAATCCAGTCCGAGATAATCCGGCGCAACAAACGCCCCCTTAGAGTAATAGTCTTTCAACTATAAATTCATTATTATTGGTCTCTCAATTAATCAAAACATATAGTTATAGTTATTTTCGTCAACTTTGTCAAAATGAGTTATGTTGAAAGGATCATTGCTACAATTGGTATAAGGTTAAAGGATCATTGCTTCAATTGCGTTAATGTTGAAGAACTATTTCTCTGGTTAGAATAAAGTTAAGGGACTATTGATACAATTTTTCTTATTTAATTCTTGCCCATTGATTTAGCCTCATGTGTATAACGTAACTTATTTTGACAAAAATTTTAATAGAGTTGACGAAAATGACCATAGCTGCACGTTTTGACAAGTTAAGGGATCAATGATAATAATTTTTTAATAAAAGAATCATTGCTTCGATTAATTTAAAATTAAAAGACCATTGATACAATTTCCTGTTTTAATTTTACGTCGTCTAATACGATATTGTTTTTTTCAGTTGATAAAAGTGTGACATGAGTTGGACTAACATGAGCACAATATGAATCATATCACACATTTTTTTATTTTTACGTTCCTTAAAAAAAAGATCAACTTGTGACTTCACTGTAATAATCAACTCTTTCGGGGAGCCGCAAATACTAACAACTGCATTTAATCATATGACACAATTGAAATGATAAGAAAATCGAATGCTTAGCCGAGTTGGGAGTGTCCTGTTTCTCACTCAAATACAGAAGGATTACGACGATCATTAGAAGGAAGTTACATCCGTAACGTTCAAGGCTATATACAGCAATCACGCCACTAGGCCTCCCCACTGCGTCTGCCACTTTCACTTCCATTTTGTCCACCGCTGCTTCTAAGCTCGGTATAACCAGGTGCCAGCTTCGGCGGCAGCACATACATCACAGTTGGAGAACTTGATGTAGATGGGCACCGAAACTGCCTAGTAACTGGACATGCACCTGAACTTGGGGGGTTTATAGTATGAGTTGGATTAGGCTGTTGGTTAGGTTGGGGCTCGTCCGTGTCCATTCCTTCCACACCATTCTCATACTTTTGTCCTGCCGTCTTTAGATCAGAAGTCCCATATGGAACCTGGGATTGCCAGAAAGTAGTTGATTGATTCATCGGACCTTGAGAACTACCTTTACGCTCATACTCTTCTTTACATACGGGTGGTGGAATGTTCATGTCTAATGCCTCGTTTGGCTTGTTTGGTTTTCTTTCAAGCAGCTTTTCTCTCTCCAAATAAAGTGGTATATCAACAAAATCAACTTTAGATGATGAAGAACGGCCTGAAGCGATTACAGTGGTAGGGAATGCTCTTTCTGGAGGAACTGCAGGAGTGTAATTAGATGGGAGCAAGTCGTCCCAGTTCTCCAAAAGCTCCTTGTAGACTTTTCGGAGAGTAACTTCAGTAAGACCAGTCACCTTACAAATCTCTGCCTGAGTTTTTCTCTTGTCTTCAAGCTGGCAGGCTAAATATATTGCAGCCGCGGAGATGCTAATGGGGTTCCTACGCGTGCAGAAGCACTTGTTGATGACAACCTCTCCAATGTGAGTTGCTAGTTTCTACAAGAAAGTATGTGATCATGGACTTGATCAGGAGAACAACTCAAGTTCAATACTCTCATCATAGAACACAACAATTTAAGTCACCAAAAGTCAAGTTCAAATCTGTAGTCTGTATATTGAAGATATGCGTGCAGGCGAAGCAAATAAGATGTGGCTTTGGTTATGAAGCATATAACACAACAATTTAAGTCACGGAAAGTCGAATTCAAGTCCGTAATCTATATATTGAAGATATGCGTGCAGATGAAGCAAATAAGATGTGACGTTGGTTAAGAAACTGTAATGTTATTTACACGGTTATTAAAAATGTGACTCCATTTAGCTTTCAATTACACCGGAACTAGCCAATCAAGACTAGAATCCAGTAGATATTGGTTTGAATAGCTGTTGTGAGATAACACCCTTTCAAAACTTATAACTCCAAAATCTGTTTTTGTACTTATTACAGAAAAACAAAATCTTTTCGATTGCACATACAATGCCAGTGCCACATTTCTTTCCTTCAGTAATCATCTAACCATACAACAAGAACGCATATGCATCCAGAAGACTCATTTCAAGTGATGTAAATTCAATGAGCAGTCCAAGTAGCGAATTCAGCATCGAAACAAAAGGTACCTGAGCAGATTTATTGAGCTGGAGGAGAGTGCAAAACCGCGGCATATGCACCGATATCGAATTGCTGTTGATGGGCTGACTAAGCTGCAGTGCTTCTCCAAGTATCTTAATGTACTTGCCAATTTCTTTCTGGGGCACATTTGCTGCAATGGAGATTTCCTGCAATACAGAAATCAAAAGCGAATTCACAACATCCATAACCCGAAACAACCACAAAACTCGAAAACCCATCATCAAAATCCAGACTTTTAATAAAAAAATCAACTCAAAAGGCATCCAATTACAAACCCAATTAGCACTAATGAGTGAAATTACCTGGAGGGTTCTGGGCTCTTGGGCCTCTCTGATAGCCTGGACCAGAGCAGCAGTCGCGAGAGCTTCAACGCTGCGATTCCGCAAGCAAGTGGTGGAGCAGCAGTCCCTGAAGAGCTGAAACGCGTGGTCCGAGATGTCGTTTTCCAACCCCAGAATCGAAGCGACATCGATGATTTGCATGTAGGCCCTCAGATTATCGACCACCACGGTGGACGACGACGAGGATGTGGAGGAGGAGGAGGTGGATTCGAGGGTGCGTTCCAGCTCGGCGAGGTGGCCGGAGAAGGAGAGGGAGGAGCGGAGGAAGAGAGGGTTGGGCTCCAGGGCCCAGGTGGAGAAGGCGGTGATGAAGCCGGTGGGCAAGAAGGGGTCTTCGTCGTCGGCGTCGTTGGGTTGCTGGGTGTGGGGGAGGGTGGGGAGGTCGGAGGTGACGAGGCAGAGAGGGTTGTCTTGGGCACGGAGGTGGAAGAGGTGGTGGAATTGAGATTGGCGCTCTTCCACCACACGGCCGCACGACGTGCACTCCGTTATCGAACGACGGGAGTTGGTTGTCGTCGCGCACCGTGCTTGGCCGGTGGAGCAGTAGGGGCACCTCATTTCTGTGGGGTTTGCAAGCTGAGTGTGCTGAGTCCGCCGCCCAATTCTTCAAAGACCACTCTTGCAAAAGGTGAGGTAAGAGCTTTTAGTGGTGAATGTGAATTAAAAGTGTGTGAGTATTGGTTGTTAACTTGTTATAGAGCAATGATTTTTTTAGCACCTTTGTTAAAATTTTCATTCAAATAAAGGGTTTAAAGAGGTAAAATTGAATAGAAGTTCTAACAGAGTTAAACAAAATAACTATTGTTTCACATTATAATTGATTTAGAAATCAATACTCATAAAATTTTAGTTCAACGGTCAAAGTATCAATTGATCAACATTCAGAAACTATTGCTTTGATTTTCTCTACAAAAATTGATTTTATGAACAAATGAAAAGTAAATAAACGGATACAACATTGTTGTTTAGCAAAGAATGAAATGTCCATGATAATAATCAAATAGCTAAACAATTTCTGATCTACCAGCTCATATTATGAGATTAAACTGTGGCGTTAACCCAAATATTTAACGTTTTGTCAACCTAGTAAAGTTTGATTCATTTGTGAGTTAAGGAACACATTTGAATCTAACGTAAGAATTCATTTCTCATTGCATACAATTACAGTTACACATGTATGCATAAACTTTTGTTTTGATGAATTAGATAATTAAATGACTTAATTACATGTGTGCGTTATCAATATTTGGTACATTAGTTCCAATCAAGAATGGAAATTGAAACACTAAAAACACATTTATTCGTTCATTCTCCATTCTTAATATCCAATTTACGGGTGAGTGACTATGTCATTCTCCACTTTTGATAACCTTTTCGTTTCGATGGTGTATGTAGATACTTGGTAAAGATTTTGTCGATGGGGTTCATATTTGATATCAGGATTCACCTTCAAAGTATCAAACTTTGGGTCCCACTGTAATTCAATCAATTCTGTCAAAGCATCATGTTGAAGGAGTAATGCTAACATTTTTAAGTTTACATGAAAAATATGCTTCAGAAATTCCGCTCACTTGAATAATTGAATTTATAAAAATAAAAACGAGAGAATATCAAAAGCAAAATTCCTGCACTCTGAACTCATCTACTCTAACACCACACACACGGCAAGACTGTGATATCCAAAACTGGAACATTTAAGAACCTGATCAAATATATAGTTTTGCCCTATGAAAAACATATCAAGAACCGAGTGTGGCCGTGCGCATCACTACCACTCGACAGACTCTGGGCAGCACACAGTTGTAAATGCAGGATAACGGAGACTTGAACGATGGTCCTCAACATTAATGTAGACATCATCGACCACTGCCCGTAGAAGTCACCAGTTCTCTACCTCTCTCTGCTTGCTTCAAAGTCTTACTAAATTCTCGTGCGCTCTGATAGAAAAGGACGGAACATGTTAAAACTTACCATGCGTAAACAGATTGCCATTCTAGGATATAGGCATCTATAAAATTATTTGCAGATATTAAGGAACCAAATAGCAAGGCTTGGTTATATCATCAGGGCACATGCAAGGAAATGATTCCTTAGTCAAGATCAAGATGTTCATGCCAAGAAACTAAACGAGTAGGTTTCATACATAGGTTGAACTTCTGAATTAATTATTCACATCAACCGCACGACTATGTTATCTTATGAGAACATGTGCCATTGTTGTGATTGTGTTGGGCATGACTCAGGAATACAAAGACATTCCTACAAGAAATTGCAAAAGGACATAGTTTATGACTCCAATTACAATTGACATTCTCCTATGATAAACAATACACTTAACTGCCAAGATCAATCAAAATTCAATGTTTGGAAAGCTATCTAATGCTTATTATGCTTTAAATTATAGTCTTTACATAACAATATATCATCTGCTGAACCAGTAGAAAGCATCAATTTAACATTTGAGGCCTAATTTGTCCCTTAGAAAGCTAATTCACCACACCTATGCTGTCCTGCTTAACAAAGTCTTCAATTCCAAGGAAATTGAAGCAACATAACATAATTTACCCAACGAGAAAACTGAACTCAGTAATCTGTTATCTCAATCACATTTTTCTGCATTTTTCTCCAAGAATGTAGAATCAAATTTTTGGGAGGAACATCCTCATCCAGACATATCTCAACATGCATTAACTGGAAGGGAGTGAATCTCACAGTCCTATAGCCAAGGAAAACAAGGATGTAGATCCAAGAAGGTAATCGCCAGCCTCTCACCCTTTCCAACTCTAAATAATTCCCACCGCCTCTCAGCTTCATTTGCAGAATGGATCAATTTAATGCTTATACAAAGGGTAAAAGTTCTTGGCCAAGTGGCTTCTGCCTTTGGTCAGCTGACAATCTGGGGTTGCAACTAAGTCGGCTAAGGAAACTAATGATGCACAGATGTAGATCCAACTAGGTAATTGTCAGCCTCTCACCCTTTCTAACTCTAAAATAACTTCGATTGCCCCTGAGTTTCACTTCCAGAATGGATCAAGTTAATTCTCATACAAAGGGTGAAAGTTCTTGGCAAGGAGGGACATTTTGGCTTTGGTCAGATGACAATCTAGGGTTGCAACTAAGTTGGCTAAGAAAACTAATGATGCACGAATGGATCCAACTAATCTGTGGTTGCTCATCTGCGTTTGCCACTCGCATACAAAATGGATTCAGTTAAGCTTCATATAAAGGGTGAAAGATAATTCTCAGAAAATAGCTTTGGTCAGCTAACAATCTGTGGTGAAACCTAATTCTTGTTAACCACGTAGCAACCCAGATTCCGTAGGCAAAATGGCTATTGAAATTACACAGCCAGCCAATGTGGCTAGAAGTCCTGTTTGTCACTCATCCTAGCCTAAATTTCGGCACCTAATCAATTGAAAACCGAATTCAGACATTGACCAGGGCAATCTCAAGCAACTAAGGTCACTTCGGCACCTAATCAATTGAAAACTGAACAATGACAGATTTCGGTTGAACTCAGACATTGACCAGGACAATCTCAAGCAACCAGGTCAGCATGTTTTCAAGTGCTCCCATAAAGATTAACCTAGAAACAATTGATAAAAGACCAACACAAAAACTGATTATCTAGCATAAGTCATCAATTACCATCCTAGTTCAATTGATTACGATGCCAGGCTCAAGCAATAACGCCCAATACATCGGAGCATCCAAATCTAAATTCCTACTTAACGCCACCCAATCTTCAAAACAATGAAAGCAAAGAAATTTTGAATTAGTGCTGCTCTGTTGCTTCCTTGGTAATCAATAATCATTAACAGGTTAAGCGGAGATGAGGATGCTTCGTTGGATGTGTGGGACACACGAGAAAGGATAAGATTAGGAATGAGGATATTCGAGGTAAAGTAGGAGTAGCCAAAATTGAAGGAAAGATGAGAGAAAATCGTTTACGATGGTTTGGACATGTGCAAAGAAGGCCTACTGACGCTCCGGTTAGAAGATGCGACTACGGGACAAAGGTTTAGGGCCGAAGGGTAGAGGAAGACCTAGGAAAATTTTGGAAGAGACTAAGAAAAGACTTAGAGTACTTGATCTAACAAAAGACATGACATAGAACTGAACGTAATGGAGTTCTATAATTCATATAGCCGATCCCACTTAGTGAGAAAAGACTTTGTTGTTGTTATAAAAACTCTGAAATGTATCCAACTTAAATATACACAAATACTCTCAAATTTAACAATTAAATAAATTAAAGGCTTTTTAGCTACTGTTGCCTCGAGCTTCGGTCCAACTTCACCTACACTTCTACACTCCACCACCACAACCCTATCCCCTTCGACCTCCTCATCACCGACATTAAGCGCCGCCGCGGTTATCGCAAGTGGGATCAGCATAATTTCTATCATGCCTTCAACGTATTTTTTCTTACTAATATCATTTTTAGTTTTAAATATAAAAATAGTTTTAAAAGTTAATCCACATGTCGTTATATGATTGTATTTGTGAGACCCACGTGGCGCCAGATCATTACACTAACAGAGCAATTGACAGATTTTTCACGAAAAAACTAAAATGATTCACGACGGACAAATTCAAAGAAAGACTAAAATGATTCACGACAGACAAATTCAAAAACACTACTATTGATTATCATTCATTATTAAGGACCAGGTTAAGAAGTTACGTCAATGTCACGAATCATTTTAGCTAAAAAGCCTTTAATTTATTTGATTGTTAAATTTGAGGATATTTGTGTCTATTTAGGTGGAATTTTGGTTATATTTAAATTAAACTAACCCATAGCACTAATTAAAAAGGCAATGCAATGTCCAGCTAACGAGCAATGTAGCTTGATTAAGTAATCAAAAAAAAAAAAAAAAAAAAAAAAAAGACAAAGCATAGGGTACTCACTGCAGATTGCACCGGAGGCGGATCGAGATCCACAGAGACAGAGCGGACGGACATCTTAGCGATCTCGGTTATGGCTTCCTCTCGAACACCAGGGACGTCACTTGTCAACTCCTCATAGGCAGCCTCAAAAGCTTCCTGCCAGAACCTCGGTAATCTGATCCGACGGCTATTGGTGTACACATCCCACATGTGCTTCACCACCTTCTCCCTCCCTTCCATTTCCTACACCACCACAAAAAAACCCCAAAATCCCCATTAACGAATCAAATCAGAGATCCAACCAAATCGACCCACAAAACAAAAACAAGAAAATATCATACAAGAACGTCGAGATCGTCGTGAATGGGGGAGTCGAGATCGTCGGAGAGGCGGTTGAGGTTGCCGGCGGACCACCGGAGCGTGACGGTGCCGGTGAACATGGACCAAAACGCGAGCAACAAAATCGCGGCCAAAGCCCAGAACTTGTACCTGCCTTTCCCGAGTATTAGACCCGAATCCGAGCTCTCCTTCTTCCCGCTGCTGGCCGCAGTCGTTGTTGGAAAGCCGTCGCCATCCTTCATTGCTGATTAATCCCACGCAAATTGAGTTTAATTTAAATTTAATCGCCCAAAAATCTTAATTTCTTTTTGTTGGTTTTTATTCTATTTTTGGAATCTGGC